AACGTCCACGATTTCATCACCAGTGTTGCTAATTGGTTTGCTGAACTGGTACTCGCAAGGGAAGTGATGTTTACATGAGCACTGCCCGCATGTACCCTTACACATGCAAAGCGCGAGTAGTGAATGGGGAGCGGGGGCGGTCGATGCGTTTGCTGGGCGATTGTGGGCCAGATAATTATGACCCGACCACCACACGGTTCACGCAGTTGCTACCTCTCCCACGAATTTCGGCCCTGACTTGGTACATGATTGCAGATTTGTTTCTCTTTGTGGTACCGGGTCATTCAGCCTCAGGGCTTGGAGCCTAATTCCTGCCTGTGGTCTGTCCACAGCCCCAAAGCTGAATAGTTAAGGCTCTTATCCAAGAAGGGTGTGCATTTCACCAAGGTTTTTAGACGTCTGATCAAGTGTTATGTGTTCAACCTTGTGCAGAACATCTAACCAGGCACGTTTAGTAATAAGATTGAATGATTCATCTAGTAAGTTAATTATGAATTAACCAATTTTCCTATCTTTTGTATTCTGTCACTGTAGTAGAGGGGGAGGGGCTCAAACATATGGCCTGTTGTTTGGATTTCCAACTCCATAGCCATTTAGCCATGCATTGACTGTTCTGCCAGTTGCGATTAGTGATAGCAACGATGATGGTTCGACTGTCGCAAGTTGTGACGTCGACAAACAAGTCAAGCAAGACGGTGTTGGTGGACAGAAGTTTACTACCGGAAAATAGAGGCAATACAGAGGCTGAGTTTTGCGTCAGAATCAACTCCGTGTACACACCGAGTCCGGCTGCTATATAGCCTTGCCAGCGGAACGTTCTTAGTGGACCGGGCAGCAAGCCAGGTGGACAGCCGCACGTCAATTGGCTGGCACTCACGTGCACCTTGAATTGCGAGCAGACGGGGGAAGCATAGGGCAACTAAGAGATCGCGGCCTCTCGCAGCGGTTGACAGCGGGGGAGTTTGTCATGTGCAAGTAGATAGCTAGCGTGAATCAGCACAGCGGC